TCCTATTTAATGCAAATGAACAAACTTGGTAGCGTCAAGGTGTCTGCTGAGGGAAAGCCATCTATGATTTGAGATCGATTACTTGATGTGTAGCTGTAAGTGTATTCCCCTTGAAAACATTGTATTTAGCCCTCTGAAATGTCTTGTTACATGAGGATTTACTTGCTTCCTTACCGAGATTTGTGTGAGCCAGAGTGCTCTCTTGCTAGCCTTCTCAAAGCAATTAAGCTGTTTAAAAGATCTGGAGGTTTGACGTTCTGTAGTTTGGAAGTAAAGGGAGATGGACAAAAAATTCCGGGACTGAGAAGATAGAAGTCAGAAGTGCTGTTATGAAAGTAAGCTAAGTTTTAGCCATACCTGGTGTAAAAAGAACAGAACTAGCTCCTGTCAATGATGAAGATTTTGCAAAAACTTAGAAACAGAAAAGAGATAAAATTGGCTGATCTTTTTTTTTTCAGCGGAATGCTAAGGAGTTTTAAAAGAAAAAAAACCCACCACCCCACTTTTTCAATGTAAGATGATCTCGAAATTAAAGAAAATGGAGATCTGTCAGTGTGTAATTGTGATTTAAAATCATAATGCTGAAGAAGTGTGTTCAAATGGTAGGAAAACACATTTAGCCATGATAAAATGGCTCCGCTGTGTACAAGGAGATGTGGTTACTCTATTGCCTCATGGCAAACTGCGGGTGCAGGTTGTTGTAATCTTAGGAATGCGAGCAAGATGTGGTGTTTTAATTTAGCAACTTCACAATTTCAACGCTATTGTAATTTAGGAATAGCTTGTTTAAAAGTCTCTCACCAATGTCAAAATTGTGTTGCTGTAGCTTTATAGAGCAGGATAAAGATTATATAACGTTGCAAGTAAAACAGCCTTATTGTTAAGGATGAGAAAGCTTAGATAGGATATACTTAGATGACAGATCTCTCTACCCGGGAAAAGCTGCATTAATGTATGCGTTCCTGGTGTCTTCTGTCACTCTTTGCTTCCTTTTTTTTAGAAAAATTGTTAGTAACATGTAAGTAGGCTCTCTTACAGAGGCTGCAACGGAATGCCTGAACAGTGTGGTCTTCTAATATGCTGTGGTTTTCCTAAATGATTTGATAGGTTTTGAAATTGTTCCAGTGGCAGGAGCGCAGGGCTTTATTCCCTTTGTATTTTGTGTGTTTGTTAGCAGCCTAAATTCTTCTGCTGCATTCTGTTACAGAAGCGCCTGTGTTGACAAAGCTCCCAGTCTGTCCTGGTGTTAATACAAAGCCTCTCTAGAAGTGATGATCCCATGAATTGTAATTGTATCTGGGTTGGCTGTAAACATACAGCCTTTGTCCTCAGGCCCCAGTACATGCTAGATGTGATGTCATCTCAGCGTGTCATGTCTTACTGAGCAATTGCATTAGCTTTCCAAACTGTTCAGCGTGCATCAGCTTGTGAAAGCTGCCCAGATGTAAGCATTGTAGCCTTTGCCTCTTGTGACGAACTTTTGCTTGTGGAGAGCAGGAGAATGTCATGTTACAGCAGTTACATAAAGATCTCAAGCACTTAATGTAGGTGATGCCTGTGCAGCTAAAGCTAGATTATACAAAATCACTGTTTGTCAGCTGCATAGTGAAAGGCCCTAAATAATGTTGGGTTTTTTTAACCACTGAGAATTAATAGTAAAATAACTGCTATTCTGGGGTTCCTTTCATGAAATTGTCTTCGTCTTTGGGAAGCTTGTGTTCCTTACATGACATGACTCAAATCCATCTCTTCTCTCTATAGGATGTAGGTATGGAAGAAAAGGCCGATTTAATTCTCTTAACAGAATTAGCTTCTGTGAAGTTTAGTTGTTTGACCTTACAAACCACAAACTTAGGTTTTCATTGCATGCTATGGCGTTACAAACTTATGAACTTGTTTATATCTCAGGATCAGAATGTGTGAAGTTTGAGTATGAATTCTGCATTTCAAAATATAGTGACTCATATCCACGTGAAACTCAGCTGATCCAAAAATATGGATTACTTGCAGATCAAGAGAAACTTAATGCCGTTTATGTTTTTAAGTTAAAGGAACATATTTTTTGGTAAGTCTAAAGAATTAAAAAGTGTTGCAACAGACTGGAAGTTTGATGAATATTAAGCATCTGTTGTGAAAAAGTTGGAATGTGAAATTAAATATCCATATTCCAGAAGTTTGAAATTTGAAATATTCTGATACAAATGAGTGAATATGCTCACAGTGTTTAAGAAAAGCCTTTCTGATAAATGCATTGTTCCTGTTCATGTTTCAAAAACTAAAGCAGACTAAAAAAATTGAATAGCTTGATAGTTTTTAGGTTATAGTTATTCATACGTGCTATATAGTAATAATGCAGACAGTGTCAAATCCTAGTATGTTTTCTCACATGCTGCAGGAATTGCTTTCATTGCAAAAAATGGAATGAGTTGGAATGAGAGCAAAGAAGGAGGAAGGACTGCCGTTCAGTGCAGAAGGCATCAGCACAATCAAGTAGCCAGTGTAATGTTTTTAAACACATAGTGAGATTGCTCGATCGTCAAATCTGCATTAGTCATCCTGACTGACGAAGATTTTGCTGTGTTTTGTTTTGTTTCTCCAAGTGTTTTGGAGGAGATTTTTGTATAGGCTGAGGAGACTGAGATAGATACCAATTGTAACCAACAAATGTCCTACTTTGGGTTTGTTCATTAAATCCTTCTGGTGGAGAAAGGAGAAACCAGGTTGTCAGAAAAGAAGAATATAGCTAGTGAAGAGTTGAGCTTCATTCTGTAAGCAGTCTTCAGGTTTCAGGTATGGTTTAGAAGAGTGGACTGAGAGATGTGTATCTTCTATAAATCATTGCAATTAATAGACTTTCTTAGACATGGGCTAACATAATTAACAAATGCTTGATTTAAAAAAAAAAAAAAAGCCACAAATACCTGTTAGGAGAATGTGCATACACAGTGCAAATGTTGACTGTATCTGGAGAATGTTTTTATTTTAATAAGTCTGAGGATTTTAAGAAGCAGATGGCTCAGTGAATCTTGGAAGAGATTTTGCTTGTTCTTCGTATTTTCTGATGGGAATGTTGGCATAATCTGAAGTCACAGTAGCAGTTTTTACCCTTTTGCCTTTCTCCTAAGTTAATGAGCTGGCCAGTGAAGTTCAGGTCTCAAAAATATAGCTGTTTCAAACAAGTCATCAAGTAATAGGGCCATGGTTAGCAGAGTCTGTTTTCTGATGTTCCCCACTGTGCATAAAGATCCAGTGTGCAGTAGGAAAGTCTTGAGGTGAGACTATTGCAGAAGGCTTTACAGGTAGGTTCCGTCTTATTAAAAATGAGTGAGATGTTATCAGTACAAAACCTGGAGTGTCTTTACTGAAACGTAGCTCCTAAAAATAATAGTTTGGGAACCTATTGGCAGCCGGGAGTTTGACCTTGTTTCTCCAGCAGTGATAGTGGTTAGTCTTTCAAGAGCGTCTTAAGCGAAACTGAGGAGAAACCTTGGAAAAAGCCTTTTCTCTATTGTATTTGGTAAAGGAAGAAAGTGGTTACACCCCATGTAACTACCCATCTGTTGGCCTTCCTTAGCTTTAAAATCTTGGCAGGCTGAGCGCTGGATTTTCTTGACAGGCATTTAAGGTGTTAGGCCTTAGTTAATCAAGAATAGATATTCTAAGGTCTCTGCTTTGTGTATGGTATGCTTCAAAGTGAAGCTGAGAGCTGTAAACACTCCATCCTTTCCTAAAGATACTAGGAATATCGGGTATTCTTCTAAGATATTTTTAGCTGTGATTAAAAAAAAAACCAAAAACAAAAACAACTTGGAGGGGAGGTTGAGCTCGTTTAAAAATAAATTTATGCGTAGGCTTCAGTTTACAGGTGGGAATTTTAGACCTCCGAAGCTAGAACTTCCCTGCAGTGTGCTGCCAAGTGGGACCTCTGCTGTGGTGTCAGCTTTGGCAAAACAGGCTGTCCTCTATCTAATCACATGGTTTCTGTTATGAGGTTCAGCACTTCAGCTAGAAGGTCGGTTAGGAGGTAAGCTTAGTGTTGTTAGAAGCCAATTCTAACATGCTCGTCTTTTTCTCCAGTTTTCAAATGGATAGTGTTCTGCCTTCTAATAAACCCAGTATCTTGGAAATGACAGAAGCTAGTTTAAGTTAGGAAGGTCTGGGTTTTTCTTTTGGCTTGCACTTTGGGAGCTTGTGAAGACTAAGTTTGCTTGGGAATCACTAAAGGCCGGACAGTAACACAGACAGGTATGAAGTCTTCCTTCTGTGAAACTTCTTACTGCTGTCTTGAAAACTATAAAGCAAAAAATACACAATGCAATCAAGGAAGAGTGTAAATTTGTAAGCGTAGTGCATGTTTTGGAGTCACCTATTAGAGTAGCAGTAGGAACCTTGACTCGTAAGTATTGAAGAATGAAGCATGATTTGTTGTATCTGGAATGAGAAATAGGGAATTTTTCCTTTTAAATTGCAGTGAGGGAAATGAATGAAAATTCCTTCACGTTATTTTGTAAGACCTGGGGATATAAAGATAACATCTGGGTGATAAAACTGAGATTCAGCAATTTGTCCTTAGCTACTAGAATTTAATTGAATAAGCGAGAAGTGGAGAATGCCTTAAATAACTAAAACAAAACAAAAAAAAATCCAAACATGTCAATGATATGAGGGAACACTTACTGTTGGTTTGGAAGCTACATGGTTTCCTTCATCCTCACAATGTTACCAAACCAATGTTAGGAAGAAAACGGAATTGCTTTTAGAAACTTCTAAACAAGAGGCAAAGGACTTCTGTTTACCTTTCCGTAGCAAGGGTCTTTCTAGGACCTCTTGAAGGGCTTCATGCTGTGGCAGCTTAGTGATAGAAAAATCACTTGTCGTGGATTGTATGAGTGGTTGTGGGGCCACATCTGTTCCTGCTGTTGTATGTGCCCTAACATACAACATGGAAAATCAGGTACACTTCTAATCCTGTGAACCTGTTTGGTCTCAGTGTCGCCAGGATGCGTTTTGGCACCTGCCGAACAACAGTAGGACTCTGTCGATGGAAGAAAGTTATTCTGTGAGCTTTCTTGGTAGGGTTGTATGCAATATATTGTTGGAGAAATCTTTCTACAGTGGAAAGCCCTCTATGACCCTTGATGGTACAAAGATAAAATTGCAGATTTTTGGTGTTGGGATCTGCCCAGTAACTCGTCCTCCAGGGCAGGAGATTTCAGCTCTGTTGCTTCAGTCTGAGGGGCAGTGCTAGAACAGTTTGAATAATCCTGTTTGAGGAGGAAATCTGGAGACTGCAGGTTTTTTTGCCTCCACAGCTTTTATTTGGAAGAATCTGTATTTTTATGAAAAATCAGCATCAATACGATTTTATTCTTTGACATGTACTAGCTGCGATTCCATCTTCTGGTAGTAACCACCTGTACTGCGTTTCTGAATGTCTCCCTCCTGCTCCAGCCACCTCCAGGGTTTTAAACTTTTCAGCACTATTTCTCGAGTATGTCTGTCATCTGCTCAAGATGAAAATGAGATGAAATACTAGAAGAACCAGTTGGCTGGATTTCTTTTGACTTCTCTTGTGTTGCCTAAAAATGCTGTGTTAAAAGCTTCCATGGTACCTGACTTAGAGTAAGATAAAAGGTGATGCTAATACTGTGTTGTGAAATTTTTGGGGTGAATGTGTTTTAAAAGCTTTATGGGTTTTTTGTTTATTGTTTGTGTCTTTTGTGTTGCTTTTTTTAACAGGAGTCTTACCCCTCTTCATCACCAATATGGTTTGTAGAATCAGATGACCCAAACCTAACTTCAGTCTTAGAGCGTTTAGAAGATATTAAGAAGAGCAATACACTGGTGAGCAAGTGTTTTGGTTGTTTTGGGTGTTTATTTAGCTTTGCCACATTTACAACCAATTAAATTGGTTCCGTTTTGGGGTTGTTTGGGGGATTTTGCAAAGACAAGCTTCTCTTCCAAAAACACATAAAGCAAAAGTAATCTGAAAGACTTGGGGCAAGGAGGAGGAGATGACTTAAGTGCTTGCTTTTTAAAAGAAGTTGAAGTTTTAGCCCCAATAATTGCAGAGTTTAAGGTTTTCTGAAAATAATTAAACAGTGAAATGCATGAGAACTTAAAACTACTGAATAAAATGGCTCTCCCAGTGTTTTCTTTGCACTGAGATCAATTACAGAGGCAAGAGCTTTATGTTCTTGAGAATGTATATTCTCCAAAACATGACTGTAATGGTAACTAATACAAAGAGTTCCTGGTTTCAGTGAAGAAGACTTCACCTGATAGCTTCTAGTTCATCAGAACTCCTTAGATAGTCATGTTTGAACAGTGGTATGACTTTGGACAATTGCTATTTAAAGAAGATCTTTGCACAGATTCTAATGGCAGTTTTGTATTTCAGAAAACTATCGGGCATTACATCTTACTTTAGTACCTTTTTAATGTAGTGATAGGAGCTGTATGTGTGTATGTATATAAAAATTAACTTCCCGTCCTATGCAGGAAGGTGAGCGTCCTTGAATATTACTTGGAGAAAAACTTTGGTACAAATGTACTTTGCACAAAGAGCAGTATTGCAGCCTACTGACAAATTCAGTGATTAAAAGCGCTATTTCTCCTCTCCAAATTCAGCTTTATGGATATTAAATAGCCCTTTAGGATGATCTTTATTAACAGTGCATACAAAACAAATCAGTCTGCAGAATACTGCTTCTTGCGTGGGTTATGTGCTGGCCTTAGTGTTTGCCTTGCTTTGGAAAAGTTGGGAATCGTGAAATCACTTACCTGTTATGTTTACTGGGATGTTGGTGAAGCGTACTAGACCTTAAATAAAGATGTGTAGATTTGTTTTTTTAAAGGATATTTAGGATGCATTTGACTTCTAGCAGAAATAATTAGAAAACTAACAAGTGAAAGTCTTCATGTGCCTTGCCATAATTAAAAACAAGGGGGCCTTGCAGAGGAGCATTAGTGTTTTAATGTCTTTTGTTGGATCTTATTACTGGAGACATACATATCAGTTGTGTATTTTCTTCTAAATTTTAGACTGAACTACAGTTAGAAGAATGTTACAGATCTCTTGGTCTTTGTGACTTCTGCCTAGAAAGAGATATGACAGTATAGTAGCAGAAAATGTGGCTAAATCAACTCTTTTCTTAAATACACTTCCCAGAATGTTCTCCAGCTTGAAGCTGGTGTGGCTAGTAGCTTCAGACTAAAGGTTTTAAACAAGATATTTCTTGTGTTTAACTACGTACAGGTTTGCTTGCAATAGAGTAGAAAGCTTTATCCCAAGCATGCACAGGACTCGCTGTGCTGAATTGCATATGCTCACAGACCGCTTATGTACGTTGTAAGAAAACAGCTTCTGGTGTCAAGATTGTACTTGCCCTTGTAAAAGCTGATGGGTTGATGTAATAGACACCTGTGGACGGCCCATTGGTTTCTTGGGAATCCACCCCACATCATGTTATGCCAAGATGAAGACAGATGGGAGTGGTTGAAGAGACAAATACTTGCACTACAAAATCTGACGGCTTTGTTTTGCTCAAAAGGCTTGGCTTTGTGGGTTTGGGGTTTATTTTTTCTTCCTACCACTTTTCCCCTTGCAACTCCCTCACACACAGACTCCTTGGAGTAGGGTAGGAAGGAATAGGGAAATTCAGAGGCTTCTGATTTATCATGCTATCTCCTAAAAACTCACTTAGTTCGGTTTAGACTTTTAGAATGTTTCAAACCAGTTTTCATTTAATTTATTGCAGCTAAACGATGGTTTGTGCCATGTTGCTCAAAGCTCATAAAGTTACTGGAGCAGTCAAATTTTGAATGGGAAATTGCATTGGACTCTTCCAGGAGCTCAGCTGAGCACAGTGAACATGCCGTGTGCTAAAAGCACTGCTAGCACATGTACCCTGATTTAGAGTTCTTTGGTGTTACTCTGCCCTTTCTACCTGCTCTGTAGCTTTTGACAGGTGTCAGCTGCTTGGGAAACTGAAGAACATGCTCTTCAGGCGTGAAAGTTTGACAGGGCTATATATTATATATATGTGGAAGCCTTGTCATTTGACACAGTAAAAGGAAAACTCTTTTACCTGTGTTAAAATCATGCACATGTTTCCTGAAAGGATGTGGGTCTGGAACTCTTACCTTGACATCAGCATGGTGCTTTTTTCTGTGAAAATTCCTCAAAACACTAAAAATGTTGAAAGGGTGTTGAAAACATGATCAGCATAGGTAGCATTAGGTTTGGGGGCTTTAGCTGCTTAACTGTTCATATTGAACAGGTCCCAGTCAGCTGATGAAGGTGCTACGGAATTCTGTGTGACTGGTAGAGGCTCCTGAAAATCAGCATTGCCTTCGCCTTGGGAGGTAGCTGAAACTGACAGCTGCCTTCTAGTGGTTGTGCAATGCAAAATCCTACTTCAATTTTGTTCTATTTATTGTAATGGAGCTTATAGCTCATTTGGAGGTTTAATTTTTAAAATGGTAGTGAAACAGACTTAAGTTCAGATGGACAGCTTTCATTCTCATGCTGTCCAAACCTGGAGGGCTTAAACTTGCATGGAAGGCTTCAAAAGTATAGAATTCATGGCGTAAGTATGTGTACAGCTTGGATAAACTGCTGTCCCTCAGTGTGCTACTTCTGTGTTATGAGTTCAGATTTAGTCCCACATGATGGCATTTCAGGAAAGAATGTTGGCTTTTGTGAACTACCAACGTGACAGCAACTAATTATGGTTTTGGGGTCATAGAGACAAAATGCAGGAAGAGGCTCTGTTTTACTTTCTGAAACTGCCCAAGGCTGCTGAATAGACGTGAGGCCAGTTACTGTCACAGATTACCTGATAGCTAAGTAGTGGGCCCACTCCAAATGACATTTTTTTTTCCCTGTCTTTCCTCTTCAGCAGTTTCCTTCAGTGATAGGCTAAGATTTATTGATTCACTTGTTTATTTTTATATAGATTGTGTGTGTACATAGATACATGTAGAAGAACGTGTATACTTGCGCTAGACTTCTTCAGTTTGTGTTTCTTGGTAATCAGAAAACAAGGTGCTTCACAGTGAGCCTAGCAGTACATGAATATCATTAAAGGTATCCTAAAATTGTTAATGCTTTCATGCTGCATTAGAAAGATCTCTTCTTGCATAAAAAGGCCTCCTAATGTAGGAGCATTAAGTGTTGTATTATTGATATATTTATTATATTTTAACTGTTGATATTTTGATGTAATCAATATCACTAGTTTATAAATTTGACGCTTGAGCGTTTGCCTTATGCGAGCTATTTACATTGCTGCTTTAATACCCTGTGGATTATGCATTCTAGTTGCTGCTTGGTTTCTGCTTTAGGCAGTTTGTATTCCAGGGAAACTATTGGTCTACTGATAGCCCACTTTTCTTCAGCAGCAGCAAAGCGTGTGTGTGTTAAGCATTCGTTTTACAATTTTCCAAGCATGTGAAGTTATCTTGGAAATGCATTTAAATTATTAATACATGGCAGAAATCTGCTATCTCTTTTGATGCAGTCTATTCATGTACCATTAACACATCCCAAATCACGCTAGGCTCTGCTTAGGGCAGGGGGTTGGATCAGATGACTTCCAGACATGCCTTTCAGCCCAAATTATCCTATGATTTTTCATACATAGGAGCAGAGCATAAGGATAATGGTGAAGGTGATCCATGGCAGAAAGATCAAGGGTATGAAATTAATTTCTGTGGAGGAAAAACATAGCAATAAGGAAGGGTTGTAGAGATGGGAGCAGCTTCTTGCTCTGCCACCACCTTTGTAGATTGTAGAAGCTGACATCAGGTAAAACAACTTAGCTATAAAAATGAAACTGCGGTTTGACAGTTGCATGAAGCTAACCCTGAAGTGTAGACTGCTGCCAAGGAAGGGGGTCCCTGCTCTCAGCTGCACATTCCTGCCTCCCACTTGTTGGTGAAATTGGTGGTGATGTGCTGAAGCACGTCAGGAATTGATCTTCCTCGAAGTTTGCAAGCTACTGTGTGGTGTGTGATCTCTGGTGCCAGTGAAAATGAGAAGGGGAAAATGTGCTGCTGGAGGCAAGGAGACACCTCTTCAGGCACAGGCGCTGTGTGATTCGGTCCAGGTTGTGCCAGCAGTTTGTTGCTTTCAGAGTGCTGGTGTATCTCACAGCGGTGCTGTGTTCAGAAGGAGGTGAGAGAAGTTTACAATGTGTTAGGTCCTGTCTGCAGAGATTCCTTCTGAACTTCAGTTCGGGTGACAGGACTTCTCGTGAAGAGGATGGGGAGTGGAGGATGCAGGGCAGGAAGCAGTCTTTACTCTTTTCCCAGCCCTTGCTGTCTCTTTCTGTAGAGACACATCTAATATTGCGTTCAACTGCTTTTCCAAGCTTTGGACCAGCCAAGTGCTCATGATGGTTTTCTTTCCCTGCCATTTAGATTTTTTTTCTGTGCTTCACAACAGATGTAAACAAATTAATGGCTTGCCCAGCTTTGCATAGCTGCGTGAGAAAAATTACAGTTCCTGAAATTTTGTAGTTTACGCCCCAGCTCTCCATGAGGCAGTGGTGTTTGTGCAGGGAAAAATTTTCTCAACAAAATGTGTAGCAGTGTGTCTTTAAGCATCTTATATTGAGAATAATAGTTCTAAGACCTGTGGTTCTATTTACCAGCTAATCTTTTGATTGATTAACCTGCTTTCTGCCTGCTAAAAGATTTCCTGGTGTTTCAGACACTCAGGAAGTTTCGAACAGGTGTAGAGTCTTAACACTGATGAGAAATGTGATGGTTACAGAAAACTTCTGGCTACATGAACTATCACATCTCATGTATATATTCACAAGAAATGTCAGTTCTTTTGGTGTCATCTGCTTTATTTTTGAGTTAAGGATAGCTGTCATGAATGATGCAGAAGCTGGAAGCATGATGAGATAGGAAAGTCATAATTCTTGTAATGCAGGCTGGTAGAGAAAGTCATAATTCTTGTAATGCAGGCTGGTATGTCAGTTCATGGCCTCTGATGAGTGAATAAATAACATTCCTGTTAAACAGGAACGTTGAATTCTTCTGGGGAAGGGAAAAGCAGTGAAGCTTTCAGATAGCAGAAGGGCAACGTTTGCTTATCACTGCTAGTGATTTGGTCTTGGAAATGAGTTCTTAACTCTGGAGAGGCTGAATTTTCACTTGCAGTAGGGTAAGGTAAGAGCATTTAAACTGCCCAGTAGCAAGACTTTAGATATGTAGAATATTTTGGAGAGACTAGATTTTTCTTAGGTACCTTTATTTATTGCGTATTTTAAGAAACGCAATGTGCAAACACCGAATAGTGTCATAGAGGTATCATTCTTTCAGGATAATACAGTCCATGCTGTAAGTCTGTGCCTTGGGTGAGGCCACGTTGCCTGAGTCTCCATCCTTTATGGAGAGATACTTCAAGGAGAGTGGGGTTGCCAGTCTAGGCTTAACTACTGGTAGGCCTGAAGAATAAGCGTATAGAAATGGCTGTCTTGCACACTGCCTTCTACAAGTGGCAAGACAAACTCCCTTCGGTATCTGGAAGAAAAGTCCATAAGTAGATGTATAATTTTGGCAAGCTTTGTCTGGGGTATTATTCTGGAAATAACAAAATGTTGACTGTTTTGCAAATGTATTCTGCAGTCCTTTGTTTTTTTTTCTCTGACATAGCTATGCAAAGACCTTGAAAAGTTAGGAAATGCAGTAGTACAGTCTTTTATGGTCTTGGCCTTGAGTAGATGTATGAGGTTCTTAGAGAAGGCTAAAAGCTATGGAAATCCACTTCATTAGTGTGGTGTTCAAGAAGCAAACTTAATATTTCTCCATTTCTACAGAACTAAATTTTTTTTCTGGGTAGCATTACAGTGAGTGAAAGGTGTTCCATATTTCGCAGTTAGCAGAACACAGTCAATGTCACGCTGAAAGTTGGAAACAGGAATCAGTGATGGTAACAGATAGTGCCTCAACCCAATACAAGCTATGGCAAGTAGACTGCTTGGGCGCTAGCTCAGAGGTTGGCTAGTCTCTATGCCTGGTACAGTCTTTGTCTTGCTTCTAGTGCCTCACTGGTGTGCCCTAGAAAGGGGTTCAGGATGTGGAAAACCAAACTGTTCCTTCTTGTTTATTTTGAAGACATGGTTCTTTAACCTGGGAAACTAGAATGAACCATCTTGTCTCATGGAATATGGCCGTTTGATTATTCCCTAGTGACTTGTGGCTGACGCACTTATGCCTGGAATGGATGATGCTGTCAGAGCAGATTTTTCTTTTGCTCATTACTTTCTTCACTTGCCATGAGGAAATGAACAGGAGCTGTCTTTAACTTGCCATGCCCTTGGTTTCCTGTTGTGGGGATTTTAGTACAATGATTACAGAGAAAAAGAGAGTTTTTAAACTTTATTCCAGTGCATGCAGATTTAATTGCTGTACACTGACTGAAAGTTCAGTACCAACAGGTGAAGAAAACTCAAAATATGTTCTGTGCGTTGGTTTAAATAAATGTTTTAATGTTTTCTTTTCTGTAGCTTCTTCAGCAGCTGAAGAGATTAATATGTGACCTCTGCAGATTATATAATCTTCCTCAGCATCCAGATGTTGAAATGTTAGATCAGCCGTTACCAGCTGGACAGGTAAATTAAAAAGCTGTCGATACTTCCTTATGGCAATGAGGGAGTTGTTTTTTCAACTCCAAGAAGCAAGATGGTGGGAACGATTAAACCTTGTGTAAGCCAGAACTGAGATATGAAGCACTGTTGCTTTGTGATGTCCTCAATCTGAATTTTGTTTGCAGAATCCATTTAATAACGGTGTGATAATATTACACAATTTCCTTTGGAGTTTCTGTATTATGGAGAGGTGTGTATGTGATACCATGTTGTCAGTTTAATTCGCTCCTAAATGTTGTTCAAACCAATTGCTATGCGTTCTTAGTGCTTCCCAAATTTACTTTTTTCTGAAATGCAAATGTGATTAAACACTGTTTGCTTTTTATTTAGGAGTATATGTTTTAGTGTGCACTTGGATGAACTACTTTTGATGTTTTCCTTCCGCTTCAATCCCTTGCAGAGACATGGGATATCAAGACCATATGCTACTTTGGGTAGGGAGTATCTGAGGTGCCTTGTTTACTTTTTGGGCTCTTGACAAATTAAGGGTTGTGAAGGGCTGTGAAATGTTAACTAAGTGTTTTGTATTGTGCTGAGAACAGAACTGGTGACTGATGGTTGCTGTTCTTTTTTGTATTTTTAATAAGATCATGATATCTTCTTTTACTTACGCATGTTAAGATGACATGGTTTCTAAAAACTCCTGTAGCGTAACAGATGGTTTTCCTGTGGTGACAGTACTATAGTACTGACAAATAACTTGCTTAATTTTGGTCATGTGCCAAACTGTAATCCTATAGGTCTTTTCTCTCAGCCACCCACGTAGGAGTGCAACTGTAAAGCAGTAGGCCTGTAATATTAGGAAGTAGCTTTGTTGAAGAGTCTTGCTTATGCTCTGAAACTCAAAAACAAACTCTTGGAAGATTTCTTGGCCAGAAATATCAGATAATTCGCAAGTTAAATAAATTTGAGTGGCTTTAGTAAGTCAGACCAAAGATCCATCTAGTCCACTGCATTGTCTGCAGCAGTGGCATTCCTTTTTTGCCGAAGGAAGAGTAAGCATAGGACAAGCATATCAGAATGCTTCTGAATATTTCTGCAGCTCAAACTTCCTGTGCTTGAAGTGGTATCCTGAAATGGAAAGCCATGGAAAAAAACCCTCAATGTATTGTTTTGGTTTTTTATAAAATAATTTAATAACAATGACTATGTGATGATAGTAGTTGTTGCATGGAAGTTCTAGGTAATGAGACAAAAATCTATTAAGTTTTAGAGGTCTAAAGTTTGTTGTTTGTTTTTTTTTTCTTTTTTAGGGGTTTAGCATGTATATGGGTTCTAGTCAGAGCCATGATCTGATTTCATGGTTAAGGGATCATGAGTTATAACCTCTTTGCGTTAGTTATTGCATTTGTCACTGTCTCAGAATAGGATATCCTTATCTGAATCTTAAGTTTCCCCTTAGAACTTAATCGTGACATTCTGTTTATCTTTGCTTCATGCAAAAACCTCTTCACTGTCATGCTCCAGGAAAGCATCTTTGTGTATCTTTCACATTAAACTTTAGTCCTTTGCAGACCTTGGTAAGTGTAACTTTCATATATACTGCGTTGTCTTTGATAGCAGACTTCCTGTTTTTGAAAGAAAGGAACACATGCACAATTTATGCAGAAACCTCGTTGTTGTATTGCAGAATGGAACAACAGAAGAAGTTACATCAGAGGAGGAGGAAGAAGAAGATATGGGTGAAGTATGTTTATATATGAGGTTGTTATCCTAATCTAGTAGAATTCTGGCATTTTGCTTGACGGTGGCTGGCTAATTATTAAGCTAAACTGTAAAATGTAATCTCTCTAGAGTTCTCTAGAGTTCAACAGAAAAGATAATAAAAAATTTGGATGTTTACCTTAACATTGGTTTTCACTTCAACCAGCAAAACTAGTGAAACTTTCTTCTTAAACCTAGATCTCAGCTGTGAGGTACATGGATACAGAGAGTTGGACATCTGTTTGTGCTTTAGTCAAACAATACATAACATTGTGTGCCCAATCAGTAAGTTTGCATTCTTAACTATTTCAAGCAGCATATGAAGTGGCTCTGATACAGTTGAAAGTGCCTCCCAAATCGAAGCAGACTGGCTAAGAGTGGAAGGTGTCCCTGCCCATGACAGTGGGATTGGAACTAGATGATCTTTAAGGTCGCTTCCAACCCAAACCATTCTATGATTCTATGAAGAGTAAATCAGTTTGCTGATTTATTAAACAGGTGAGCTAGTTTTTTAACTATAATACATTGAAGGAAATGGAAGGACATATGAAACAGACACATTAAACTTTAAGGGGTTTATGTCACTGTCTGATAACACGGTGCTCCTTTTAATGAACTTTTTACTGTGTGAGAACCACCCCTTTCAATTACTTCTGCAGTGTTTTAGAAGAGCTCCAAGGTGCTTACTTTTTAAACCATTCTAAATAGCCTTATTCTAGGAGAACTGTTCTGACTACTTCAGATTTGGATTTTTAATAATGAAGGTGTGTAGTAAGAATGAACAACTCAGTCTTTGAATAGAAGATTTTCCTTTAGAAAAAATCTAAATGTTAGCCATGTTCTGGAATTATTTTGAAACAGCCTCTTACACCATATTTAAGCCTGATCCTCTGTTTGTTGGAGCCAGTTTCTGTAGAGGTAGTAGTGTGCATGCATGCTCCCATATCCTGCTGCTACAAGGCTCTTGTTGCTTGCAGACTTGTAAGTAGCCTTTTGCACTCTGTTCGATTACTTTAGACAAAAAAAAATGGCATGTCTGTCATTATTTATAAGCTGTCAGGTGGCATTGTGTGTGTGGCACTGATATCTTCAACTTATAATCTAGTCCAATTTCTAGATTTAAAAACAGCTTATGGTTCCTAGGGGTATATCGTTATTTTGAAAAACATGAGCATTTTAGGGCATACTCAGTTTAAAATCTGTTACAGTTGGAGGAAACAGTGATGTCAAAGGTACTGGATAGCTCTGTTTCTTACAATGTAAGACATCCTTCAATTTGCATTTACGGCCAGGTTTTCCTGCCACACAAACAGATGGTGCATAAAGAGCAGCTACAGGTGTGGTGGAGCCCTGCGTATTGGAGCATAACTGGTAGTTGTGTACTCATAGCTTGCTGGTGTGGCTGCTGTAGTGCTGCTTCTTTTTTTGTCTCAAGGTGTTTATGTCCTTCCCCTTCTCTCCACAAATAGCACTTGAATCACCTTACAGGCAGTTGTCTTAAGTTCAGAGGGCTTCTCTGCAACTGGATAGCCCTGCCTCAGAATACAGAGTGGAAGATTTGTCAGTGTCATAGTCTAGAACCCAAAACTGAAATGTTGGCTTGTATGATCAGAGTACTTGACCACATAATTTTTGTCTCCTATCCTAATTTCCAAAATTGCTGTATCTAGTTGTCAGCTGAAATGTTCACCTTGAATAAAGTACATGTAGCTTTCTAATATTTAACTTTCTTGAAGGGTTACTGTAGCCCTGCCAGATATGTTAATCATTGTTTGCCAGAAGTCTAATATAGCTAGGATTCTAATTGAAAAATGGGTCTGCTTTTAGAAACATCTTGGAGATACCTTAACTTTGCATACTTTTGGATTCTCAAGCCCTGTTCGAAATGCCTTAACTTCCTGTTTTCTACCTGCTTTAAAGGGCTAATTCACCACAATCTTAACTTCTTGTGGAGGTTTTACTGTGCTTGTTTCCGTGACTAGAAACATGTTGTGAATTTGGGTCTTGTTTGTATCGTGAAGGCTCTCTGCACTTCTAGTGAAATTAGAGCAAATTAGAAATGGCACCCAACAATTAGTAGTACACAGTGCTGTGCAGTATGCAACTGTATCCCTAAACACCCTTGGAGAGGGCTTCATTGAATGGAGAGCATGGTTATTTACATTGGATTTTCCTCTCTCCTGCAGGACATTGAAGATCTGGATCACTATGATATGAAGGAGGAGGAACCAGTTGATGGGAAGAAATCTGAGGATGAAGGCATTGAAAAAGAGAACCTTGCAATCTTAGAAAAAATCAGAAAAAATCAAAGGCAAGATCACTTAAATGTGAGTTAGTGATTTATGCTTTGTATTTGCAATACTTCTGGCTTTAAAATAGAAATGATTTTCATCAAATAAAGCCTACTGCTATGCATCTAGACATAAATTAACCTGTAGCTGACTTCCAGCACATGTAGGACAAATGTGTCGAGTTGTGGGACCTAAATAGCTCTTTTTGGAGAAGTTTGAATAGGCCAGCTAAGATTCCAACGTCATTTAGTAAATGGACTCATCTTTCCTAAAAATTTTTGGCACAGGAAGTTAGTTGCCAGTCCACATCCCACAGAGGCACAAAAACTACTTCAAAGCACTCTCATTCAGCCTGCAAGAATGCTATCATAATTCATTTTGTCTGCCAGGGTTGGGATATTCTTGGCATTTTGGATAAAGAAGCATCTTTTAGCTTTTCACTAGAGTCGACTCTTACATGTAAATCCAGGTTTCACACTTGTTATTGATATTTAATTGCTTGTCTATTTCCAGAGGTATCTATTTGGTTGTCCCTCTGACTCTTGATGTCTTTGTTATGAACAGTAGTCTTCCTTGCAGAATCAGCAGAAAGCATCTAGGTTGTAAGCATGACTTGTGTTGCTGAGCCCTTATTAAAATAACAAATGAAGTCATATATAAAACTGGCTGCATTAAAAAGTCATGAGTGACTTAACATACTTAGTAAACCCAGGAACCTGGTGCTTTAAATTCATTTTATGCATGAATTTGTTTTTCAGTAATATCTATGCTGCTTGGAAATTACTGAAGGGTAGTTTTGGGGTTTTTTTCCAGACATAAAGCAAGGGGCCTTCAGCAGCCCTGCAACTTATTATTATAAGTTTTCTGAGTGATCCTGCCAGTTTTGTTTATTCTCCAGAGGCTTAGAAACGTTTTGTCACAAGTGCCAAGTTCCAGAAAAGCTTCTACTTCTCACAGGTGCATGTAGGAGGGAATGATGATGTCATACAACCTTAATTTTATTTAGCCTGGCTTCCAAAGAAATCAAAATTTTTGTTTCACAGAGGCTTAAAACGTGTAATGCATGAAATTCAGTCCTTCTGTTCATGACCAATTTCAACCAAGCATAAGGGTTCTAAAATTTTCCTGTCACCTGCACAGGTGCCTGAATTGGTGCCCTCTACTGTGGCAGCTCATGAGTGTCTATATGCTGTTTGGCAAGTCAGCAGACACGCAGATCACACGAGATGTGCTATTTCTCTTTAAGCTAATAGTTGAGGATGTGAGCAGTAGTTAGGTACAGGGGAGAGGGACCTGTAGGTACTTAGGGAAGGAGTAAGATTTAGGATTGGTATGTAGGGAACACCTGGATTTTTGCCCAATGAACCAGCTTTGTTCTAGTTTTCACACTTGATGATTTTTTCCTGTAAATATTTTCTAAAAAGCCTAAATTGCACTTAAAAATTACATTTAGTATTGTATCCACTACTAATAGATCTAGTTATCATAAGAATTTAGGGAAAAGACTCCTTTTGTTAGCAGAATCTTGACTGTTTCTTGCCATGAATTACGGCCCTGAATAACTTCATCTAGTTTAGAAAAAAACCTTCTTCCTCTTAGTTACTGACACTTTAACATGGAAAAGAGTTTTGGTTTGTAGCCATCTGCTTTGCAAAGGAAATAAAATAGAAATGCTTCTATTGGAGCTCTTCAACTACAAGACTTCTGCTCCTGTCTCATTGCTGTTCTAATATGACTTGGGTGCAAACCTGTCAAAAATACCCTAGACTTATGTTCTGCTGAAATAGCATGAGATAGGTGGCTAGAGGAGACTGCTCTTTGATTTGTGTGTGAATTCAGTAGTTATGATCAGGTTGTCTGAAGGAAAGTGTACAGTAATGATCATGCCTTCAAAAAAACCCCAACCAATCAAAAAAACCCCAACTAAAACATAGTCAGCATTTCAGTATTTAAAAGTGGGTAAACAAAAGTTTTGCTGTATAAAAAAGTGACCATAAACACAACGGTCACTTACTAGTTTAAACTTAAATGTTTGTTCAGAGTTTGAAAAGAGATGGAGGTTCTGTATACTTCTGTATTTATAACTCGGACCTAATGGTAAAGAGTCCTTAATAGTTAAGTAAAATAAATCCTCTTGCAGCCTGAAAGGCATGGTCTGCTTTACCGTCTTCTAAAAGTATGGTAGAACTGAAAAAAGGTTTTTGTAGCGTCTTAAAACTGCAGATTTCTTTTGCTATCTGTTCTGTCCCGTTTGGCAAATATTATCTTTCCTTTTGCTTTTTCCCTGCACATCTAGTGGAGCTGAAATGAACATTGCTGTTTTTCGGTTTGACAACAGCAGATTCAACTTACATAATAGCTGTTGCTCGTGCCAAGACACTCTCGTTGATGCTGATGCATAAACAAGGTCAGCTGAGTGCAGGGAACAGGGTATTCAGCTGCTGCTGAGGAACCGTGGTATTTTTGTGGGTCACCAGAAATAGCTGTACTGCTTAAATAATTTCTCAAAGGACTTGTGAGGGTTGACACTTAAGTGCTTGAGAACGGAAAACTGTAGCTGCGCTACTGACCTAGGGAAGGGCTAACCTAGGAGCGCTTAATGGCTCCGCTATGCTGCCGAAACTGGGACTTTTAACAGAACATGTGAAACGTGCTCTAAGACAGCAGAAGTGTGCTCCGTATCTGAACATAAAGCGAAATTTAAATCCGTACAGCCCTTCACAGTGGGTTTTCTTGAAGGGCAGTATGAGTTTCATAAACTTAAACGGAGTGGCTAAACATGGTCTGTTTTTCACACACACTACCCAGCTCTCTTGGTATGCTTGTTTCCTCAGCAGAGGAAGTCAAACAAAGCCGTGCCATTTACGTGCTTGTTGGAAGAGGGAGCGTGAAGCCGAGTGTAGGGCTTTGACTAGCGCCCAATGCAACCAGAAGACTTTTCGGTTTCTTTACGTGTTCTTTGGCCCAAATCCATGGGTCATCCTCTCTCCCCTTGGCTGAAATATGATTCTATGAAATGCAAGTTGAAGTTACAGATCATGCTAAAGGCTTTTCCATAGGAAAGGAGTGCATACAGTCCCATTCTTGCATGTTATTAATAGATTAAAGACATTTTTCTTCTGCTCAAGACTTCTGTCACAGGAGTTTTTAGGGTTTGTGTGTTTTATATAAGTTAAGAATATGTATCTACTGATTTTGTAAACTAGTTCTCTTCCTTGGCAGTATCCCTAATCCTCATCTTCTTGCTGACATCAGGAAATAAACTGAAATTTGGCTTGTGGTACAGTATGTAACTTAGAGCAAGAATTAATCTTCCTCTTAACATTGTAATAACTTTAAAGAACCACTTGCCTACTGGGAATAAAGAAGGATCTTTGAACTGGAATAACTAACTTCAAATATTTAACAACTCGCTGCTGCTTGCTTTTCAGAGGTCTCTCCCTACTTAGTCATTTTAGAGATTAATGCTGTTCTTGTTTAGGTAATGCTATTAGCTTTTTCCATTTCCTACTGAGGAGTTTATGCACTTTCCTTTATAAGTCTCAAATGTCTCCACTTTCATCTTGAGATTTTATGAAGTTGAAGGTGTCATTTTCACTTTCAGTTTAATCCTTGAACTAAGTATGAATCTACATTAACTTCCAGGAATGAATGTGCTTCTGCACAAATACTGAGAAAGTTCAGTGACAATAGAGTAAACATGTATTCTTTAGCTCTTTTTGAGTCACTTTAGATTTCATTTTATTATCTTGGAGGAGTTTCAATTTTTTGTGTTTTGTTTTTTACCTTGATTGAAAGTTTGTACCACCTATACCATGTAGTAGTATATGTTAATGTGCTGCTTTAGAGGGAGTGTCCTAATCCAGAAGTTAATATATTCTCAATACCTCTAGTTAGTGTGACTTTGTAATGGAAATAAAGCTGTTTGATATAAATATTATTTTTCACTTATTTGAAGTCTTTTTTGTTTGTTTCAGGGTGCAGTCTCTGGGTCAGTTCAGGCTTCAGATCGACTTATGAAAGAACTCAGGGATATATATAGATCACAGAGTTATAAAACAGGTAAAATGCTTCAGATTTCCCTTCTTAAAATACATTTTAAAAGAATTCACTTGGCAAATACTTCCTGATAGTCCTTCTGTGTTTTGTTGTCATATGTATGTATATATGTGTGTGTATGTGTATATATGTATGCTTGTGTATATATAAAAATAAAAATACATAGATACATATGTTATATATAATCTCATTATACACATCAGTGTATTTGTGGAGAAAAACGAATTTGGGATACGTATCCTCTAAAACGTTCTTCCTTTTTGTTATGCAAAGCTTCATATGGGAATTAACAGGACTGGTGTAACTATGAGAATGCCCTTGGGGTGGATGACTACAAAGAACAACTCAAGATTACTCCTGTGGGACTTCTTGAGTTTTCAGAACTATCTGAGATTCAGCTCCTTGGGTATATAGGTGTTGTGGTTTAGCCCAGCTGGCAAATAAATGCCACACAGCTGCTTGCTCACCCTCCCCTAGACCCGGGGAACGAGGAAGAGAATTAAACAGGAGAAGGGAAGGAGATGTATGGATTGAGATAAGAACAATTTAATAATA